TGGCTGCAGATATGACTCAAGTTAAAAGCATTTCCTACTCTTGAGGAGGACCCAGGTTTGGTTCCCAGCAGCTATATGGTAACTCACAGCCATCTGTCACTCCAGTTCCAGGGGATCTAATGCCATCTTCTGGTCTCCTTGGGCAACCAGGCATGCATGTTGGACACACACACATGCATGCATATATACATACATTCATACATACATACAAACAACATTCATACCCATGAAATAAAAAAAAATAAATAAATGTTTCTTTTGTTTGTTTGAGATAGGCTTCCTCTGTGTAGTGCTGACTGTCCTGGAACTCACTTTGTAGACCAGGCTGCCTTCAAAGATCTGCCTGCCTCTGCCTCTGTGTGCTGGGATTAAAGATGGGTGCTATCACACCCGACTAAAAAGAGATCTTATTATTAACCCACCCACCCGCTTAGTTAGGTAAACACACTCTGTGATCCCACAACGTAGCCTACACTGATGTCACATGGCTGGACGCCCACAGGAGGAAAAGCAGTCAGCATAGCAAAAGGTAGGGAGTGAGGATAGTTCTGTATTATCTCCAGATTGCTAGAGTTCGTAGTAAAAGGACAAAGATTGCAGCCATCCCACATTGCTTTACTTCGGGTCTCTTAGGAAAATGAGGACTGAGAATCTTTTATTCCACCCTGCAAGATTGTTTCCAACGGTCCTAAACAGAAGAATATTTGTTCTATTAAGAAAAACTCTCTGGGCACAGAAATTCAGTTTCTCTTTCAGTAGCGTTGGTTTGTTCCCCGGTATGGAAATGCTTGGATTTGGTGTGTTTTCTTTAAAGAATGTATTTGGATTAATTCTTTGAGAATTGCATACAAAGAATTTTGATCATATTCACCCCCAACTCTTTCCTTGTTTCATCTCAGATCCTCCTTTCACACCTGACTCCTCCCAATCTTGTCCTTTTTTAAGAAAAATAACTCACAGAGTCCAATTTGTGGCTTCTGGCAGGTGTATTATACACCACCCATGAATACACACACACACACACACACACACACACACACACACACACACACGATACATGTATCATAGGGGGAGAGATGTTGCCTTTCTATATAAATTTATTTCTGTAACTGACTCTTATCGAATACAGCATACACATGGTAAAAAGCATAAACTTAATGTGTACTGTGTATAGACATTTACAGATACACACAAACACCTCCCATTGCCTCAGAAACCTCCCTTTTGCCCCTGCTTACCCAGTGTTCTGTGCTCAAGAGTGACCACCATCCTGACCACTCAGCATGGGTTGGAATTGCAGGCCTTTGAACCTTACACCCATACCATCACACAGCACCGTTTTTATCCAGCTGCTTTTGTGCATCATTGTGTCTGGGAAATTCATTCACACTGTTGGGTGTAGCAGTTCAGTGTTTACAGTTCTACAGTATTCTATTGAATGTATTTATTGTGCTATTGGTGGCTGTTTAGACTGCTTTCACTTAGGTGCTATTATCAACAACATCGTAGGCATCTCTTGCCTGTGAACAGACCTGTTGGTAAGAGTAGATATGGGTCATAGGATGTGATATAGTTTTAGCTGATGCTACCAACCACTTTCCTAAAGTTACAGTAACAATCCATACCCACTGTGGAACATCAGAGGCAAACTCACTACCCTTTCTCTTCTGTTGGGCATGGAGAAGCATCTCCATTTCCTCAGTAGTCAATGATGCCTAGTTTTCTTTCTGCAGTGTTTTTGGGCATGTCTTTCAGGAACTACCCATTCACGTCTTGGCCTGTTTTTTTTTTTTTTTTTTTTTTTTCCCTTCTTGATTTATAGGAGTTACTCCAGCTAACTCTGTAGTCTGTATCTGTGTGTATTTTAGTACCTTCTATTTTATGACTTGCCTTTTAGCTCTCTTACTGGTACATTTTAATGTGGGAGGCTCTAAATTTTATAGTCGTTTTTTCTTGTATGTTGTATTCAAGAAATCTTTACCTAATACAAGGTCTTGACGTTATTCTCTATTCAGTTTGTTTTTGTTGTGATTTTTTGAGATGGGTTTCTATGTGTAATAGCTCTGGCTGTCCTAGACTCATTTTGTAGATCAGACTGGCCTCAAATTCACAGAGATCCACCTACCTCTGCCTCCTGAGTGCTGGGATTAAGAGTGTGGGCCGCCATGCCTGGTTTATTCTCTGTATTTTCTTTCAGACATTTTACCGTTTTACCTGATGATGCACCTGGAATAGAATTCTTAAGTGGAACTGGAATTTTATTACCATAGGTTGAAGGGACCATGTTCCTGTTCTGTGGTATAAGCACTCCCCATGGATCAGATGGCATGGTGCAGAGTGTGTGTCTGGACATTGGTCTGTTTTGTTTGTAGCCAAAGCTTCTGGCTATGTGTGAATTTCAAGGACTATGGCTTTCTAAGTACTCATATTCATTCCTTTAATTTGGTGTGTGCCTGCTTGCCTGCACACACATGCGCATGTTCTCTCTTTTTTGTTTCTCTAAGATATGGGAGATATTTTAAATCTACAGAGCCATTTTGGTAGAGTCAGCTCTTTCTCTTAGCTGATTTCCCCATATACTGGCCTCAGGTCCCATTTGGAGCTGAAAAAATTCTAGGGACTCAGTGTGAGATGTGGTTTTCCACTGTGGCTTGAGCTCCAAGTCAGAGTCGGGCTGCATTATTTTCTCTCTCTTCTGACTCTGCTAGGCTGTCCCGGCCCTGCTTTGTGCCCTGTTTCAATCACTGTAGTGGGCCTCTCACCCCTGGCCACTGGTTAGGTCCATTATGGGTCCCACAAGCAGGTTACCTGATCTAGCTCTCTTTTTGAGGCTTGTTGCTCCCATCTCTCCTCAGGCTTGTTTCTACCATGAAATACCTCATGTTTCTCACTACCTTTTCATACCTTTGTTAGACTTGGCAAATTGTGCAGGTTGAGAGGGTTGTCTTTTCACTGCCAGGACCCCGGTTACTACAGAGATAGAAGAAAAGGAATTTTCTGGGCATCTCAGAAGTCAAAATCAGTTATCCTGAAATAAACTTGAGAGGTCTGCTTGAGGAATGTGCCTCTGGGTAACCCTGCCTGGAGAGAGCACAGGGGCTCCATTCCTTTCTCTCTGGTACCTGGTGCAGTCATCAGGGCACTATTTATGACTTAGTAAAATCAGTAGTCTTAAAGTGCATCCTTCAGTGACAGCAAGCATTTTAGCCATGAGTTATTTTTCTCACTTTCTGACTGGATAACGAAATGGACACTGCTGTGCCTCTGCTTGCACCCAGACGCCAGCCACAGCACAGCCTGAGAATGTTAGAAGGAGAGGTGAGAAAGCAGACTGCAACAAGCCTTTAAGTAGTAATAAAATTACTGCTATTGAGGAACTGGAGTTGAGACAGTTCCGGGGAGAGCAGCCTCAAGCTACAGCAAATGAGAATTATCCTAATTCTTTAGCGAGTCCAACGCTGATGTAGTTTAACTCCTCTTTCGACAGTTGGGTTATTTAGTTGTCTTGCTTTAGCAATTAATTTCAGAATGACATCTGTAGCACTGGGGAGGACTGTTGAATTTCTTGCACCAAAATAGAAATCATGTCCCCAGTGTCATTTGACGACAACAGTAATTAACCTGGATCACACATCAGCCGCCCCAGCAAACATGACAGTCCTAGAATTGTTTGGAGATTCAAATGAGAATGGCAGTAGCAAGTAAGACAGAACATCACATATTTTCACATGCGCTCTGCCTAATGAGCAGGTAGCAGACGGGAGTCCCACACGAGGAGTCTAGCTTTACCTGGACATGGCTGAACCTGTCCGTTTCTGTGCAGGCCTACATGAGCCAAACCTTCCGTTTCATCTCACCCAACACAGGTGCTGATTTTTTTTTTTCTCCCCAGGCTCTCCTTTCATCTGGCATGCACATGACATCACACCCTATGCCACATGCCCTAGGAGATCATTAAAAAAAAAAAAAAAAAAAAAAATGGTGCCCCTGAGGAATGTTCTGAATTTGGAAGTTATAAACATTAAAGATCTCAACTTCTGGCTATTTTAAAATAATGAGATGATTTAAGAACACTTGCCCTCTACTCTAGAATGGTGATGCTTTGCCTTTGAGAAGGGGATCAGTAAGCAGCCATGGTACCACCTAGTCAGCCTCCCTCACCATAGGCTCACCTACCCTGTGGTCATGTGTTAACATCTGCCTAACACTTTGGTTCCAGGCACCAAAGGTGAATAAGAGAAGTAAGTGATCATTCATTTTGTGTCACTGACATAAGAAACCCCAAGCTTTAAGAGGCTGGGAATTTGTTTGTCTGTCTTGGTATGGTTCCTAATGTTTTATAAGTGTTTATTGAATTAATTGGGAATTCTGTTTGGAAGATAAGTCTGGCAATCATCTATGGAATGCTTCAAGGAACATGCTAAACACTGGAATGAGCCTATAACCTATGGGCTGACAACAGACTGAGTGGGGCACAGAGGAAGTTAGACAAGATGGGACCCTGAGACACAATTTAAATTAAATCCTATTGGACTTTTATTGGCTGATGGAATGTGAGGAGAAAAGGAAAGGGTGGTTTTGGAACCTTAGGGAGCAACGACAGTGTGATGCCAGAGAGATGGCTCAGCAGTTAAGAGTGTTTGTTGTTCTCTCATGAGGCCCAGAGTTCAGACCTCAGCATCCATGTCAGACAGCTCACAAACACTGATAGCTCCACCCCTTCAGGGATCCCGTGTCCTCCTCTGGTCCCCAAGGGTGCACACATGTGCCCCCAACCCACCTTAGATACACACACACATAAACGCACGCTGAAAATAACTCTTTTTAAACACTGAAGTAACGGTGTCAGTAACCCCACTTTGAGAATTGTAGGTAGCTGCCACAGGGAAGTCTCTGCTCTCCCAGTCCTTTCTTGACATGAAGGGAATCTGAGGCTTGATTATATAAAACCAGTAAGTGCTAATAGATTCTCAGAATTTACTCCTATGTTTTAATCCCAGAGCAAAGACCATCAAGAATACAGTCTCTGTGAACTTGGAACTAACAGCAGAAGAATGGAAGAAGAAATATGAAAAAGAGAAAGAGAAGAACAAGGCCTTGAAGAGTGTCATCCAGCATCTGGAAATGGAGCTGAACAGGTGGAGGAATGGTGAGAGAGAATGGAGCGGGGAGGAGGCAGGGCATATGCTTTCTCCTTCCTGTGACTGTTGACATCTTGGAGCCTCCTGGAAAAGAGTGTGATTGTGGAATTTAGGCATTCCCACTTCCTGTGATGACGACTGTTTTATTATTTGTTTTATTGATATGCTTTATTATTTCTGGGCACTATGCCATACCTCATTCCTTCCTGTGGCCTGTGTAAAAGGGTGTGGGCAAGATAGCTTCAGTCAGTCATTCTTGCTAAGTCTGTGTATGTGCATGTGTGCGTAGAGGGGTGTACATGTGTGGGGAGGGGCTCGTGTGTGTGTGTGTGTGTGTGTGTGTAGAGGGTTGCACATGTATTGAGACGTGTGTGTGTGTGTGTGTGTGTGTGTGTGTGTGTAGGGTTGCACATGTATTGAGACGTGTGTGTGTGTGTGTGTGTGTGTGTGTGTGTAGATGCATGCCCATCAGGGCTCACATGTCTACACATATCCGTGGAAGCTAGAGAGCAGCTGTGGATGTTATGTCCAGGAAGACTGTCTATCTCCTTTGAGACAGGTCTCTCATTGGCCTGGAGCGTTCCATCAGGTTAGACTAGCTAGTGAGGCCGCATGGATCAGTCTCTCCACCTCCCCAGTTCCGGAATTACAAGGGCATGAGCCAGGCCTGGCATTTTCTCGTGTACTCTTGGGCTAGATCTTAGCTGCTTGTATTGAGCATCAAGTGCTTTCCCCAGCCTGGACAGAACCTCTTCCTAATGCTCTGCTTTCTATATGTCCTTGTCCTTCACTTTCAGGGATCCCAGTTGATGTTTACAGAGCAGCTTCTGAGAGTTTCTTTAACTAATACAGACAGATTGCTTTGGCTAAGTGAAAAAGAGGATTTGCTTCAGTCTTGCCATTTTTTTGTGGTTAAAAGTCACCACTGGCAAGAACTTGCCTTCTCTGACCCTCCTCACTGTCAGGCTCTTCCAAGTATGACCTAGTGAGCAAAAGAAGCCCTTTTCTAAAATGGACTCTGACAGGCCTGCTTCATGACTAGTTTCTCTCCCCTTCTCAGTCTCTTTGGTTTGTTCTATAGGAGAAGATGTCTCCGAGAGCTGGGGCGCAGCGGGTGGGTGGGTTGTGGGGGAGGTGTCAGGAGTGGCTTCCAGATCCCAGGGCAGGCAGACGGGCGGACAGACAGATTATTTTGGTGACTTTTATGAGGACGGAGCTGAGGCTGCGGGTAGCAGTCTGTTTTAATCTGGAAGCAAGGCGTGTTGGAGCTGTGTCTCAGGATGGGGATAGCTGGCAGTCGTTTGCTCCTCGGGTCTTTTGCTTCCCTAGGGTGTGTATTTCAGCAGCTACTGAAGCCTGTGGTGCCTCAAGGGTGGGAGCCTGGGGGTTACTGAGCAGGTCTGGAGGAAGCTGTTTGCACCTGCGCAGTGAGCTGGGAGCCAATTGCGGGTGACGGTATTTGCTGTTGTTTCCTGTTAGTAAGAGTTGGGTATCAGCGAGCTACTTATTTAATTGAAAAGCAATTACATGGCAAACAGGAATTCAAGAGAAGATGGAAAATTGACCTAGTAGCCCAAATAACAGGATTTTTCTCTTTTCCGAAGCGTTTCTAGCTACACATGTGTTTCAAAAGCTGCTAGAATAATTGAATAACTCAGCACCTGTGCTGGGTGACGATTCCGCGCAGTTTGGCAGGAGCAGAAAGCGAGATGGGAGGGGGTAGCTAGACGGCTGTGGGAAGCTTTGTGGCATTTCTGGAATATTTTTTCGGTCAGTTCCCTGTTGGATGACAGGGTCATTTAGCAAAGCCCTTTAGTGAAGGGTTGGTTCAGTGGCCCTAGAAGCATTGTGAGTTGCACAATAACCTTGTTTTAATCATTTCTCATCTTTTGCCTAACTCCAGCAGGCTGGTCCTCCAACCCAAATCTAGTACCACCCTGTGGAACCCACCCTGCCTTGTTTGCCTGACTTCCTGCATGCCTAGCATGTTTTTGAGGTTCTGTATCCCCTTCTTGGCTTCTGCATATGCTGTCACTTTAACTGGTTATCCCACTTCATCCCCACTGGAAATCTTTTAAAAGTATGATTTCTGTTCATTTTGGTGAGATCCTTCACAAACCCTTAAGCTACATAATTTGAGAAAAGAAGGTGGCAGCCATTCATGGGCAAGGAGAAGGCAGTTGAACTGAGAGACAGGAGGTAGAAGGGAGTGGATTGGATTGACCCAGATAGGTACTGAAACAGAAATTTGCAGGGTTTGGTGAGGACTGGCCATTCAGAGAAGATGGTGTCAAGCTGGTTCTGAGTTTTTTTCTGTCTTGGCTAAGTTGGCTAGGAGACAGAACCATTATATTAGACTGTAAATACAGAAGAACCAGATTGGGGAATAGTGAGGTGAAGAGGAAGCCTGAGTGCCTGAGAACATCCAGAGGAGAGTGCCGTGTAGGAAGGTAGGTCTGAGGGTCCGGAGTTTAGGGACTTTGTGAGCTGCAGAGGAGAACAAGTGTTACACATCTCTGGGTAGAGGTTGAAGACACAGGTGGAGAGGCAAGGCTCCTGTAGGAGGTAGAGTACAGAGGGAAGAGAAAGTGGAGATTGATACCCTCACCACACACACACACACACACACACACACACACACACACACACACACAAAGCCTGTGGCCTTGTCTCCACTGAGCAGCTGAGATGGGAGGTGTCTTACAGAGAGCCTTGCCTTCCAAGGTGGCTTCTCTGGAGCCACAGGTTTTCAAGTGCAGAGAATATGGAGTATAGGTGAAAAGAGAATAGTGAGGCAGGGTGAAGAGACTGGTCCCAGGATGAACAGAAAGTGTAGAGCTGTATCAACGATTAACTGTACATCATGTGATATGTTGGTGTGTACCACATCCACAACAAACCAAGTCCCGGCTCTGCTCTCTGCTCAGGGTTGAATGATGTGTTGGTCTCTGGGAGACCTGTAATCTTAACCAAAGTCCAGTCCCTACTGTCATCGGTGCTGCTACACATGAAGCAGTTGTTTGGAGGCCAATGGTATGAGTGAGAAAAGTACCACCCCAGAAAAGGGATGAGCTGGAAGCCTTTTGGTGCTGTCCTGAACCGGTCTCTATTCTTTGTGCCCAAGTCCTGAGGTGTGGTGGCCATGTGGAAAAGAAATCTGGGATGGAGACAGTGTTATGTCTCCCAACTCCCAGAATGGCTGCATATTGCCAGTTTCCTTTTTAAAATATGGAATACATGCATTGGCTCTAAACTTCTAAGAGGCAGCTACTTAATTTGCTTTAGCGTTCCCTGGGTATCCATATTTCCACTTTGGGATCTGAACAAGTTCCAGGAGCCCTGACAATGTGTGCGTTCCCTGGGAAAGCTATTTCTCTCCTTGCATGGTGTGCTTATATGTTAAAAGCTTCACTGCTCTATTCCAGCTGTGAGAGAGCAAGGAAGAAGTGTGTGCGCACATCTCTGCCTGTGAATTCTTGGGCTTTCCCCACTGGCTATCACAAAGAATACAGTGGCAATACAAGCTAGGAGGAAATCAGTTGTAAATCAGGTATTTGTAGATAAATTGATACATAGCACATTCTTGTCCACTTGGTAATGACAGGTGATGCAAGACATTACTAAAGGAAGAGGAATGCCCACTTATATACCTAGAGGCTGATCTAAGGTCTAACCCTTCCTACTTCCACCTGGACCAATTTTCAACCTTAGAAGCTTGATACTATATATTGAAAGTTTGTTTCCTTCAAGACACATGTTGAAATCACCATTCCTGATGGTATTAGGGGGTGATTTCTTTGGGAGTATTCCTAGTTAGGATTTCTACTGCTGTGATGAAACACCTTAACCAAAAGCAATTTGGGGAGGAAAAGGGTTTGTTTATTTGGCTCACACTTCCACAGCACTGTTTATCACTGAAGGAAGTCAGGGCAGGAACTCAAACAGGGCAGGAACCTGGAGGAAGGAGTGATGCAGAGGCCATGGAGGGGTGCTGCTTACTAGCTTGCTCCCCATGGCTTGCTCAACTTGCCTATATACCCAGGACCACCAGCCTAAGGTCGGCTCCACTCTCAATGGGCTGGGTTCTCCCACATTAATTACTAATTGAGAAAATGTCCTATATGCTTGCCTGAAGCCCATTCTTAGGGAAGCATTTTCTCACGTGAGGTTCCCATCTCTCAACTGACACTAGCCTGTGTCAAGGTGACATAAAGCTCGCCAGCACAGGAGGTGATTATTGCCTTTGTGATTCCCATGAGACTCTGCTTCTTTTTCGTGAAGATAACAGGAGGAGTCACCTGCAAACCCAGAAGAGCTGCTCACCCCACCCATGAAAAGAGCTGTGTTGCTACTGTAGCATCAAACTTCTACCTTCCAAGTTATGAGAAATGTTTCTGTTGCTTAGAACACCCCATCCTGTGGTACTGTCATGGTAGCTCCAAGTGACTGAGATGGCAGCAGCCCCTTTAGCATCACAAGCTGGGCAGTTCTTGCCTGCATACACAGTTGGGCCCCCAAATCCAGGTGTCAGGACAGCAGGGAGAGGTCTGGTGTGTCTTCAGATATAAGATGAGTATAGTGGGTTTCGATTTGTGTAGTCAGTGGAAATCACACTGCTAAATGCTTCCTTTTGTTTGGTTTTCTTGAAACAAGATTTTGCTGTATTGCCCGGGCTGCCTTTGACCTTTGATCCTCCCGATTCAGCTTGCTGAGTGCTGGAATTTCAGGAGTGGACCGCTATGCCTGTTGAGACTTGTTCTTTCAACATCAAGTCTGTGGGAGATGCTGGTCCCCTCTTGGGGTCATCGGTGTGAGCTCACAGGAATTAGCATTTCAGTCAAGATGTCTATTTTGCTAGGTCCTCTTTCTTCCTTTGAGATCACAGCTAAACTAACAGAAATACAAACCGCTCAGCAAACCACTGGCCTATTCAAAAGGTCATGAATGTTAAGAGGGCACAGGATCTGGCTCGCCAGTGCATTAGAAAATTGCTCTAGACAGGATTAGGGGATGCAGAAGCTGCTACAGTATTTTTAGGAATGAGGGTGAAGGATGCTATTTGTATGCAAAGCAGTCTCATAAAGGAATGATTTTTTTTTTAACTTCACATTTATATAATGACATCTTGTAGCCAGCTGCTCTTGCCCATCTGGCCACTTAAAGATTTCCTTTTAGTGTCTTTCGATACAGAAAATGCTTAGCAATAGGTTTGCCACTAGGCCTATTTAATTGATATTAAAACAAAACACCTCGTTTGCCAGATCTGCAGTGGTTTCTGGTGGAAGCTGTGAGTGACCTGCAAATCCCTGCCCTGGAGTGGCCAAGAAAATGCAATTACCTCTGTGTTCTCCAGAGGCTTCAGGGACTCAACTTAGGAAAAGAATAACTAGCTTGTTGCCATTTCATGTGTGAAATTTTAATGATTTCCTGGCAGTCTAATGGTATTCCTAAAGAGAGAGAGAGAGAGAGAGAGGGAGAGAGAGAAAAGAGCCAAATAAGCCCATTTTAGAATTTTTAACTAATAGACCTAATGAGATTTTTTTTTTTTTTTTTTTTTTTTTTTTTTTTTTGTGGGAGGGGGGTTAGTCTGCTATTCTCATCCATCATTTTTGCAGAAATGTTATTTATGCTCTCTGGAGATTTTTGTCTTATAATTAGAAGGTTCTGCAAGCCTTATAGGTATGCTCCGAGTGAATGCTCCTGTGTAAACACAAATCTTTTTAGTCCTTAAAGGTAATTATAGCTGACAATAGTAAATGCCAGGATGCTTATTTAAAGAAGGGAGGCCTTTCAGCTTAAAAAAAACAGACGTTTTTCAAGGTTATAAGCTCCTGGATAGGCAGCAGATACAAGCCTTGTGGGCTGGATGAAAAGAAATTGGCTTTTAATAAAGCAGAGAGAAAAAGAAAAATCGCTGCTAACCTGCACTTCGTGGTCTCTCCCCCTGGCTGGTTGCAAGGCACGGCCCCTCCAGCGCTGGCTTGCAGCTTTCCTCTCGGTTACAATCAGCTATTCCATAATCATCTTGTGGAGCACACTGCAGTGCAGGGAATATTCTCGATTAACACGGTGAGATTGCCATGGAGACGGATTGCCTGGTGTCAGCTCTTGCACTGTGTTGGGAATTTACAGTCCCTAGACATCTTTGTGAGTTGGATGTGGGGTAGTTACCAGGGTCTCTTCTGGAAGTCATTCCCCTCGTCCTTTGAAGGGCAGCGGTGTTTGGAAACCCTTTGGCTCCTCTCTGGCAGGAGCTATGCTGCTTTTGCTTCTGCGTGTGGCTGTCTTGTTCAGCTCCATCTGAATGGCTGCTGGAAAAAAAAAAAAAAAAAAAAATCCTGCCTGCCTGCCGGCCTGACCTTTAGAATATGAACTGGTGAGAGCTTGGTGTTTACATGTAGCTTTGTGGGAGACGTGCTGACACTTTGATTCAGAGGAGTTCTCACCAGAAACCAGAAAGGCTGCTGTGGGTTTCAAACACTGTTTTCATGACGATAAAAATAACCGGGAAATGGACTTGCATAACCGTTTGGTGTTTTACTGTTTAAAAGACCACTTGGCCACAACAGGTATTCTGGATATGCTAGAAAAATTAATTCGGAATAAGGAAAAATAATTGAACTGCCAGCCCCCTGAAGTTGCCCGCTTACCAGGGAACAGAAAGAGTAAGAGACGGACTTCCCACTGGGAGGCCAGCCATGCTCATGACATCTCCTGCCTTCATGCATCTTTAAAAGAATTCGGTGATGAAAGCAGTGCTGCTTCCTCTCTCTCTGTCTCTCTGTCTCTCTCTCTCAACAAAAAGCAAATGAAAAGGCTAAGCGGGCTACATGCCTGCGCTTAATTAGGCTTCAGGATCCTGTTGCAGCACTGGAGGTGTTTATGAGAGTCTGCTGATCATTTTGAGGGGGCCCGTAGCAGCATCGTCAGCTTGCTGGAACGCTGTAACCCGGAGAGTCACCTACCCTCGCTAACGCTGTCATTTCTGATGACAGAAGAAGACAGCTTTAGGGGGAATCAGATCTGTGACTTTTGGTTTGAGCAGGTCATTTGTGGGTCACAGGAGTTAATCTCTGGCCCCTGCCTGCCCAGATGAATTTAAAAAATAAAATAAAAAATTGGCCAGCTTTTAGTTCACCTAGCCCACAGATATCGCCTGTCCAGCCATTTGGAACCAAAGCACAGAGGGAATACATCTCTTCCAGATGTTTGTGGCTCTTATCTCTTTCCTGCAGTGAGCGTGTCTGTGGATAAGATGGTCACGCTTGGCTGATTTCTATGTCAATACAGTTAAGAATTTCACCTTCAGCATGTTGAAGCAGAAAGGTTAAAATCATAGTGTACTGGATTGCTGTGTTTCCCAAATTTAACAAGCCCGTCCCGAAAAATCCAAAGTGTCAGTGGCGGATTCTTAAGAAGAACAGAATTAGAAAGGAAAAAGGTTCTAATATATTTTGTACATTGCCTTAGTTGTTATAGGGCATATTCTAAATTTTCCGTGTGGTTAGAAATTATCAGTCTGTATCTTCATCCATCCACTCACCCACTCATCTATCCACTCATCCATCTATTCATCTGCCTTGCTGCTCTTCTAGCCCACGGCTTTAACAGGCTGTAGAGAATATAGATTTGTTAATTGTATGAAATTCATTTTTCACACTAAAGTTGTTGATGAACGTTTTAAACCAGGGATTGGAGCTGAGTGATAATACTGATCTGGTTCAGGTTCATCTCAAAGGCCACCATGATCTTGTTTTATTTCGGTCAATAATTTCAGAAAGACACCTAGGCATAGTATATCGTCTAGTTGGAAAAGGAAGACATCAGGGCTTTGTTTTACACGCAGTGAAGCATGAATTATCTAGGGTTTGCTTCACGTTGCTGCTTTGGATGGAGCTGATACAAAAGTGAAACCATTGGTGTTAGCTGTACTTACACAGAAGCCTGCATACAGGCAGAAAAACCAGGCTGTCTTGGTGTTTTGTTTACACTGAGATAATGTGCACCGTGTTCAGGTGGATTCCTTCAGGCATGAAATATATCGTTCATGAAAGTACAGATTAAGATCTCAGTTCTTCTGTCTTTGTTCTCACTTTTGGCTCAGTGTGGTTTTTTTTCTGGGGAATTTTTGTAGAATGGATATTATGGGCTGAGAAGCTGAGTGAGGCCTGGAATGTCCTGATGGATGGTTGGGGGCTGGGGTGAGAATGGGAAGTTGCTGGTGAACACGGTGGTGGAAGACGTGTCTTTGGTGTGGGTTTGCTTTCTAAGAAGACAGCTGAAAGATGGAGGTGGGCTGCATGGTTTCCACTGGATCTGTTTCCTGCATTCTGTCTTTGCATGATGATTTTCCTGTTAGGGCCGCCCTTGGCCAGCTAGAGATCTGTGCCCTTTCCCCCATTAGCATTGTCAAGTTGAGCAGTGCTTCCTTTGAAGGCCGAGCAGACCCTGCTCTGCAGGCTGAGTGTTGGCGTGTAGATTCTAGATTGCCTGCCTTTTCTTTTCTTGGAACTACCTGACATCACAAGACATTATTCTATTTGAACTCTCCAGCAGAGCCAATTAATTCAGGCTTCCTAGGGGAGAGTGTGATTGCACAGGGCTGGTACAGTCCTTGAGTCCAGGCTGCCCTGACTTCCTCCCACTGGCTCCTGGGAGGCTCAGATTGGCAGAACTGGGGTCCCACGGCTTTCTGGTTAAACAGTGGTGCTGTGTTCCTTGCTTTGGCTGTTTCTACTAATGACACAGTAACATAATTAATTGGTAATTAGTGTGCCTCAGAGATCTATTTCCCTTTGAATCAGTGACTAGAGAGAGCATGATTCTAATAAGTGCTAGCATATTTCTCCACACACACAAACAAAAATGTATGCAGGATCCCTGGCAGTGCTGGGGTTGGATCAGTTACCAGGTCTGTGACCAATGGAGCCATTTGATTTCTGACATATAGCCCTGGTCTAGCAATGGGCAGTTAGCTACACCTTTCTTCCCAAATAGAAAGAACAGACTTTAGCTCTGCACAAGACCCTATTGTGTCTGTTGCATATTTGTAACTGAAGTGACTATTTTTAGAACCCTTCCCAGAGGGTTGCAGGCTTCCTTTCTTTAGTCCTCAGCAACCCACTTGCCGTGTTTTCTCAGGGGAAGCTGTGCCTGAGGATGAACAAATCAGTGCCAAGGACCAGAAGAGCCTGGAGCCCTGTGACAACACACCCATCATAGACAACATCGCGCCTGTGGTTGTGGGCATCTCTGCCGAAAAGGAGAAGTACGACGAGGAGCTCTCTAGTCTGTACCGACAGCTAGATGATAAGGTCTGTGGCTCAGGGCAGGAGCCCTGTCTCTGCGGGCCCCCAAAGACTCCACTCAGCCCCAGTGGGCCAACTAAAGAGATAAGTTATCTCCTAATGGGAGAGATAAGTAACAGGAAGGTTTGATAAATGTTACCACATCAGGGAGAAGAATGCATCAGGGGCTCCATGACCCTAGCTCCATCTCCAGGGCACAGACCTGAGCATTGGGTTTAAACAGGAGAGGCACGGGGACAGCAGAGGCGCACATAGTGAGCGGTCCTGGTCAAGGGTGGCCATTGTCTCGGTTTGGGCTCTGCAGGGTGCTTCCAAAAGCTATTAGTCGTTTGGACAAGTCAGTTCCTCCTTGGTGAGAGCTCCCATTTGAAGACTGAGCTCACCCTGTGACGACATGTCTGCAGGGCTCTGCTGTTACTCGAACCCCAAGGGCACTATCGGTTTAGGTTAGTGACTGCAGACATCCAGGTACCCTTGAGGGAGTCTGGGACAGGACGCTGGAAACCTGTGCCTCAGTTACTCTTATCTTTGTTAGCCTTCAAGGGGGATGAGATAGGTTAGGAGTCACGGATTTTCACATAGACACTTCCTGAGTGGTTAACATGCTTCTATGCAGAGCTCATTAGGTGACTGACACAAAGAGACATAGAAAGTGAAGCTAGAGATGATAGGCTTCTACCCTGCTTTTACTTGGCTTGTGGGGTCAGTGATTTCTCTAAAAGCAGCTTCTGTGAGCCTATTTTATGTATCAGCCAGAGACTTGATAGTCTTCAGTGGTGCAAAGACTGAAGGTAGCAGGTGCAGTCAGCTCCCTGGAGATGAGGTAGGCGGCAGACCGCCATGGACGTATATTTTCCTGTTTTCTAGCTTGATTGCTGTCCGAGTAGAAAACTTAATGGACGTTTGATTAGAAGAGCCAGGTGGGTGGTCTAGACAGACAAGTCCTCACGTCCAGAAATCTGACCTGGTTGATTCCGGAAGGAGAGCAGGGCTATGTGAGCATGTGTGGCTGTGTTTGTCTCTCTCCTCCTCTGTGCCTCTCCCCTTCTTCTTGGAAAAGTCAACAGTAGCCCCGCTAGGGACAAGGTGACTCCTGAGACCCAAGTGTGGGTTTAATCACATAGCATTAAGGCCCTGAGCTTTGGGCCTAACCACATTAAAGACTGATAGCCTTTCTACTCGTGAAGCTCCTTTCAAAGGCAGATCGTTGAGTGATGCAGTTTGACCATGTTAGTTGGGAATGCTTAATCCTAGGACAAACTGTTAGGGCTCAGATAGTCAGATAGTCATGCAACTGTGAAGGTCAGAACAGAAAAAAAGAGTCCTTGAACAGTACGTATCACTCATCCCCAGCAAAGGTCCAGTTAGGAATCCCAGAGGCCCAGAAACTAAATCAGTGTGTCATGTGATCTTGGCACATTGCCCTTGGGATATTCTAAGCTCTTTTAGTTCATTTCATCAAGGTTGCTGGTATTTTCAGTCTGGTTTAATCTCCTCTGTGGTGGTTTGGCTCAGGTGCTATGCAGACACCTCTGGCCTGGATGTAATAGCTTTGTTCTGGGAATGTCACCATTAATCTTACAGGGCTCTGTCTTTGGGATAAAGTCCAGAGTCTTATGTTGCCTTTGCAAGCTGAATGGGACTGGGTTCCTTCTGCTTGGTTGTGGTTCTGGGAATTATAGGACACCCAAACATTATAGCAGACTACATCCTGCCTTTCTGAAAACACATCCAACAAAATATCAGTACCCACGAGAAATGTGTATTTTACCCTTCACGCTCTGGGTGCACCCCCCCTTTTAAATTTTTTAATATTTTTCCTCCCCTCCTTTTTAACCCAGGTATTATACTCAATATCTCAGTGTAAAAGCAAATCAATAGTAAGTTAATAGTTTATGCAAACTTTTCGATTTCTCCAAAGAACTGCTATTGTGAAAAAAAAAAAACATATACGATCCCTTTTCTTCCGCACTTCCCCACGTTATAGATTCTTGGGTGGCAGATCAGCATTGATTTGTGATCATGAGAGAGATGGGAGAGAACAGAGCTGAGAGGTGATGCCCTAGAGGGCATCAAAGCTCATGGTCTACCCTTCAGCTGGTTGTGAGCTGCTTGATTATATCCTACCAGCTCTCATTGTTCTGTGTCCTCTCGAAGACTCTGGGAGATACCTCCAGGCTTCTGATGATTTAGGTGTTTAGGTACTGTGAGAATGCACAAAGTGGGACAGTGTCTTCTTGATTATTGAATGGTAGAACCGGAAGTACCTGGGGTGAAGTGGGGCATTAGCCATGTAATCTCATGACTTAAGTTTTCACAGCCTGCAGCTGGCAGAGCAGGAATGAGTTTTCATAACTCCTTTCCTTGAACCCCACACTCCTTTCATTTTGGCTTTAGCCCTTTAACCAAGGAACTGGTCATCCTCAGTAAATCTTTTCAGGACACTGGGAGAAAGATTACACAGTTTCTCCAAATCCCTCTGTTTTGTGCTGTTCCTCATGGGTCTAAGGACAGGCACATCCCAAGGTCCAGGTTCTTGATGGAAAAGCATGTACTGTGTAGTAGACCTGTGACTTAATGGTGAGAGGCCCAGGGAAAATGTTCTCGCTTGCCTGGATACTATTCTCCTCTGTAACTCAGGGCTCACAGATATCACTTCAAGGATTGCCATGGAGATAAAGGTCATTAGCATAGAACAGTGTTCTGCAGATACCAGGTTTCTCACCAGGCCTCTCTGTGAGTTCTCTTTGATGGAGAAGACACATCATATGGGGACATGAAAAGAGGGTCAGTAGAATGGGCTGGGTTGTAGCATAAAAATGTTGATGTTGGCCCTATCTTTCTCATTGGGCAGTGAATTCAAGAACTGAAATAATGACTGTTCAGCAAAAACATCTCCAGAATTAGTGACTTTTTGACAGCTGAGGTGACTATATTATTTCATGTATAAGACAATCTAACTACAAAATTAATTTTTGAAAAATGCTTTGAAATCTGTTATCTCAGTGTGAGCGTGCTTAAACTTGTCCTAAGAGATACACTTGACATGCTGAAAGTACAGCACACCTTATTCAGAAAGGCTTAGGAAATTAAAACGAAATCAGAACAGACAACTCTAATTCCTCAAAACGTTGCCTTCATAAAGGGCAAATCTAGTTCAGGAAATGTCTCTAGTCCTGTTTTGTTTTCTAATGGAGTCCTGTTTTCATCCTTCCTGGATGGTTTTTCACCACCCCTTAGCTTGTCACCCATCAGGGAGGAAAGCTGCATCTTCAGGCTTTGCCAAGAGTCAAGTATGAGAATGCAAGGCACCTCATCCTTGCCCTTCTTATTTCTGTCACTTGGGGACAGTTGTGGCTCTTAGGTGGTTTGTGTTTGATTGTGTGTGTGTGTGTGTGTGTGTGTGTGTGTGTGTGTGTGTGTTGGAGAAGAGATGAGGTTGAACTTCCTGGGTCTTTTATGTTAAACTGTTTTCTCATGCTGGGGAGCAGAAATATACAATTGGTCCTTGTAACTGACATGCAAGTGTATGAAGTTGGAGAAACACACACACACACATACAGAATAGTGAGTTAGCAGAGGATATGCCGATTCTTGGCAGTTCTGCTGTGTTGTAATTTCCCTAATTCTCCTGCCAGAACTCTGAGTCGGAAGGGAAATAATCAATATTTTATACAGGCATTGAAGAAACACGGGTGTATAAAGTTGAGTGCAAATGGGCTTTCTGGGCGGAGGAGTGAGATCAAGTGTGTAGGAACGACCAAAGACACAGGCTGAGGGTGTGCAGAACCTGCGCCACAGGCTTGATAGTGCTGGTACTCCGTCCACTAACCCCGTGCCAGTGCTGGTCTGGTCTCCGCCGTACATATTGCGCATCTCTGCAGAAAACCGGTTCTGTGACCAGGTCCTGTCATTCACCCCTCTCACCTCATCTCTGAAACAGATCCAGAGTGCAGGAGGGGGCTTTTCAACGGGAACACACCGAGGCTGGAGCAGGCACAAAGACAGCGTGATGTACTGAACTGGATTTGACTGCCTGCAGTCCCCCTCCCCTTTCCCCACTTCCCGCCGGGCAGAGCATCACATTAGGACTTATAACTGAAGGAGAGGAGAACCGAAAGCCCCACTGTCATTTTCACAGACTATACTTAAGGTTTCGTTTGAAATACCGACAGCAGAGCAGGAAAGGCGTTCTTGCACAGGGCTTAGGCAGCAAGCTCGCCCTTCCTTGGAGGGTCTTGCTTTCTCAGCAGCGACACCTAGTGGCCGTGAAGAGGGCTGTTGTTTTCCCTGCTTTTCAGTGGCAACTTGGAAAGAGGCGCTCCGAATGTGCCCACACAGGGGGCTGCAGGGCCAGTTTCCTTGTTTTGCCTCTCCACTGATAAGACTATTGATACCAGAGAGAAAACTCCAAGTAAGCATTAGTTTTTCTGCTCTGACAGAACGGGCATGCTGTGGAAAGAGTGGTCCTCCCTTCCTGTCACTTGGCAGCATTCCTGTCACAGATGTGCTGGACAGTCCATTCTGTTAACATCTTTGTCTGGCAAAAGGATGTCTCTGGAGTCCCTTTCATTTCCCAATTACCAGACCTTTGATTTCTGGGTGGGCAGAATTTGGGTTCTCTAGGTAGATATTACATTTCTTAGAAAGAAATCTGGGTGAAAAAAAAATGCACTGGTCAGCAAGCTCCCGGAATTGTCTCCTGCTGCACCCTCTTCTACTGAGTGAACTCAGGACTGGCCTCTTGGTGTCTGGTTCTGAGGGGAAACCAGAATATCAAAACTGACACAGCTAACCAAAAATTAAACATGACGTTTCATTTCAGGATGATGAAATTAACCAGCAGAGCCAGCTGGCTGAAAAGCTAAAGCAACAGATGTTGGATCAGGATGAGGTAAAGAATGTAATAAATTCTTTTTCACGAAGTTTTTTGTTTTTTAAAGCTTTTGTTGTTAACATGTTAGTCCTAGAAATATAATTTGCAAATATCTTTTTTGAAAACCTTTAAGCATGTGGAGAATTCCTGGTAGCCCTCTTATTAGTGCTTGCTAAGGGTTGATTGTGGTTATGTGTAGAAAACAAGTGTGTGGCTCCAGAGAGCTCTGAGGCCGAGGGAGTCACTCACTGCTACACCTAGCCCTGGGAGGGCAGACAACTATCTCCTGGCTGTGCGAGGGTGGTTCTTATCCAGTCGCAGCGTAGCTGCTGTTTTAGGATGCTTCACTTCTGCATATGAACTGCACCACGGAAACAGAATGGGCTTCACGTATGTGTGCAACCCAATTTGATCACATCCAATTCACCCTGCTGTCCTTTCTTGTCTCACCCTCCTTTCTTCCTGCTCTACTTCCTTTTCCAAGCCCTCTAGAGACCATATAGAACAGAAAGTATGTGACATTTGTCTTCCTGGGTCTGGCTCATTTCACTTAACATGGTGATGTCAGATCTCTTTCTACAAATGACACACTCTCCTATTTATTTATTTCTAAATAAAACTTTATTGTGTGGATTTATGTACATTTATCAAACATCTGTCTGTCATCTATCTACCTCCCCATCATCCAGTCTATCACCCTCTCACATTTTCTCTACCTAGTCATCTGTTGACAGGTACCCTGGCTGGTTCTATAACCTGGCTATTGCAAAAGTCTGGTTTGTCTTTTGGCATAGCTCATGCTCTCCTGCTGTCCTACAGGGAAAACAAAACCAAAAGTAGAGCATCAGAGAGGAAAAGCCAAGTAGGGCCATGGTGCTGTTACTATATATTCAGTACACTAAAGGGAAGGCCAAGTGTTTTCAGTCTCCCCTGCCAGCATTCAGTTCTGCCATAAATGTCTTTATTGCACTGTTTTGCCATGGATCTTACAAACAGGAACCCAAGCAAAGCAAAGGCAGCCAATCTATCAAACACAGATAATTAGAATTCTCTTGCTGAGAATACCTAAGTATTTTTCTCCTTTGTGCTTTAAAATGCTTTTTGCTTCATTGCTAAAGTGCTGTTGATTGCCTCGCACAGTGACGGCAGGTGGCAGAGGATGATGTCCCAGTCTCAGTCCCCACACTCAGGAATAAACTGTCCCCCCAACCATTTCCTTTGCCTTTGCTTCCCATCATCTTTCCAATGTAATGACTGATTTTGCAGGGAGATTCTGTGCTTTTGGAGTCACATGAACCGTGTTTAATAGGTTCCTGTCTTAGCTGTGGTCGAGGCCACTTGCCTATGTTTTCTGTTCTCTGCTTCCGTGCTGTTCTCTGCATCTCCAAGAGAGGTACGGCTGCTTTAGATCAATTCCATTCGTACCATTCAGACCTTAACATTTTTTCCCCTGAAAAGCAATAGATGTTCATTTTAGGGAAATCAGAAAATAATAATGCTAAAAGGCTAAATAAAACATCCATGAGCCCAGGAACTCATTTTAGCGTGTGTTGGTGTTTGGGGTATATTCTTCTGTAGATTCGTGATACACATTAAAGAGGGCCAACTATTGATAAAAAGAGAAAACTCCAAGCAAGCATGACTTTTTCTATTCTAGGAAAATGGGAATGGTTTGGAAATAGTGGCCCTTCCTCCTTGTCATACTTTCATACACATCCTGACTTCATTTTAAGTACTGTTTTGATGATTTTGAAATCAACTTACCCACAGTATGAAATCATGGCACTGTTTGCAAAAGGTCTGCCAGTGTAGTCATTAGAAACGGTTCTTCCGTCTTTCGTTTAGCATGAAAAAGCCAAACAGCTGAAGTGCCCTGGTGTGTGTGTGTGTGTGTGTGTGTGTGTGTGTGTGTGTGTGTGTGTG